CAATTGTGTGTAATTGATCCTCTTGGCCAGAAAAAAATTACTTAGTTCTTTAGTTCTTGGTCTGTACTTGCTCTTCTCTAAGATGCTGCCAGGTCCTCGAAGATCCTCCATCAAATCAAGCAAGCCCGTATCTCTTTTTACAGCATATGAATGGGCATCAATCCATGTGAATTTGCTTTGTCAGCAGACACTTATTCCAACAGTGCCTCATACTAAGGGAAACCAGACACCCAAGCCCTTGTTAGTTAAAACAACCTGCCTTCCATTCTATCTGAGCCTTGACCAATCCTCAGGAGTCCATCATCCACCCAGCAGAGCCAGGCCAGGGCAGGATTCAGGTAACAAGAAGTGGTTGCTGAACTGGCCTTCAAATGTTATCAGTTCTGACTCCAGGAATCTGAATGGTGCCCCATTCAGCCACTTGGATTGAAACGGAGTGAAAAGCAAAACAGAAAACTTGAGTGATTTCCCTGGCTCTTAGGACACTTGTTTGGCATCTAAGCCATGAATGAAACTGCTTTCTGTATCTATAGCTCCTGTTCCTGTTTTTTTGTTTGTTTGTTTTGTTGTTTGTTTTTGAGACAGGGTCTCACTATGTAGCCCTGGCTGTTCTGGAACTCACTATGTAGAATAGACTGTCCTCAAACTCATAGGAATTAACCTGCCTCCGCCTCCTGAATGCTGGGATTAAAGGCATGTGCCAGCACACCTGGCATGTTCCTTTTTGGCTTTAAAAATCTAATTAGATTTATATTCATTTAATTTCGTGTGTTCTGCTTGTATGTATGCATGTATGTGCAATTTATGTGAGTGTGTGTGTGTGTGTGTGTGTTTGTGTTTGATGCCCATGGAGAGCAGGTCTCAGATCCTAGATACTAGAATTAAAGAGGAGTAAGTGGGTGCTGGGAATTGAACTCAGATCTTCTGCAAGAGAAACAAGTGCTCTTAACCACTGAACCTTCTCCTTAGTGCATTTCTTTTTGGCTTTTTGAGAGGGTCATTTAGTAGCCCCGGTCAGGTCAGACTGGAATTTGCTATGTAGACCAGGCTGTCCTTGATTTCTAGAGTTTTGCTTGCTCCTGCCTCCCAGTGCTGAGACTAAAGGCATGCACCACCACCTCACCTGGCTAGAATCCAAAAACCTCAGGGAAGGGTGAGAGTGGATGAGTAGTGACTGAGAGGCAAGCCAGGGTTGCAGGGTGACTTCCAGGCCAGCCTAAGCTACAGAGGGAGACCCTGTCTCAAATCAGATAAGCTGGGTGAGGTGATTGATGCTCATCTAGAGCCAGAGATTGGGACTATATATGGAGATCCTGTCAAAACAAACAAACAGAAACAAAACCCAACAAGATAGGCAATGGAGATGGTTCCACAGTGGTTAAGAGCTCTTCCAGAGGACAGAATTCTTAGACTCCAAAGACAGCTCACAAATACATAATACTTCACTTCTAGGGGATCTAACAACCGTTTCTGTATTCCATGGAACCTGCATATATACACATAGATACAAAAATAAAAATAATATTTACAAAGAGAGCTAGATTTTTAAAGGAGCTGGAGCTACAATATTATTTATTCGTGATAGGGTCTCATTGTGCAGGCCAGTCAGGCATACAACTGTTTATATTCAACATGAGACCATGATGGACAATATAATTGAGTTTATGAGAGAGAGAGAGGAGGGCCCTGTCTCAAAATACAAAAGCAAAACAAAAATACAAAGAAACCCAACACAAACAAACAAACAAAAAAAACATTCAAATCTGCCTGCCTCTGTCTCCAGAGTGCTGACTTTTTTTTTTTGTAAATTTTATTTTAAGTGCATTGATGTTTTCTCCGCATATAAGTCTGTGTGAGTGAAGGTGTCAGGATCCCCCTGGAACTGGAGTTATGGACAGTTTGTGAGCGGCCATATGGGTGATGAGAATCGAACGTGGGTCACTTGGAAGAACAGTCAGTGCTTTTAACTACTGAGCCATCTCTCCAGCTCGGCAAGACCCTTTTTAAATACGTGGAGTAACGTACACTTGGTGCTGAGGAATGACCTGAGGATGTGATCAGACTAGCTGACTACTATGGACAGAGGGAAATGAGAGACATGGGGCTCCTGAGAGAAAAAAATCATTAGGCAGTGAGGGCACATCCTGGAGTCAACCCTAGCCACTTTATCGTATGCCTTCCAGTCTCAGCTCACAAGGCACTTAAGGCGGTGCTTCCAAGAGACGGATGCCACTGAAGCAGAGGAAGTGCTGGGCCCCCAAGGCCTAGTAAGGCCTGCGGTTTCTCTCTCCACAGCTCCCACCTCCGCCCAGGAAACATAACAGACTAGGGGCGGAGCAAACTGCATAGCTTCAACCGGCCACCAATGACACCCAAGCAACCAGGGCAGAGGATGGGCTTCCGTAAGCGCCTCAGGAAGATCCGTGAGCTCTGCCCACCCCCTTAGGGGGCGCAACCGAGCGGTGCGCATGTCCATCCGTTCCGCTGCGAGGCGTTGTAGAACCAATCAGAGCCTGGGAACTAAGAACGTCACCGGTTTGTGTACTGTGAGTGACGCTAGCACGCTAGGCGGGACGAACCGCTGATTCGATTAATCCAAAAGTAAGTACGTAACTGTAGCCAATCAGAACGCAGTTTTGCTTGAACTAGACAAGGGTTAAGGGAAACAGCCATTTGCAGGCGCAACTTTCTTCCAGGTTTTTCTCTCTATCCGCTTTCTCGGTTTCTGATGGACCACTCCTACAATCAAATAAAGAACTAAGCTCCTGGGCAGATTATTCAGCCTAGCGACGGAACGCTTTGTCACTTGCGGGAGCAGGGAAATTGTTAGTATAGTGACAACTCAGATGTCAGGTGCTGTATAGTTAGGTGAGCGGCCCAAGCAAAGCCCACCCAGGACCTAGCCATCCCCAGTGTTGGTCTACAATCCAGAAAGCACGTTTAGGAGTGTTAAAGCAAGGCTGAGGCTGTGACAAAGCGTTTGGGAGTGAGGTGGACTCATATTTTGCTTTTAGCTTAAAAAAGAAGGGACAAGCCTGGAGTGGTGGATCACACGTGAAACCTCAGTAGTTGTAAGACTAAAACAAGAGGCTAGGATTTTTTTTTTAAAGACAGGGTTTCTCTGTAGTTTTGGAGCCTGTTCTGGAACTCAGAGATCCGTCTGTCTCTGCCCCGCACTGCTAGGAATAAAGGTGTGTGCCACCCAGTTCAGGATTAGGATTTAAGGCCAGATTTAGCTACATAGCAAATCTGTTTGCGGCCAACCTGAAATACTTGAGGCTTTGTGAAGGAAAATAGAGGAAAAACACCGGGCAGTGGGGGCACACAGCCTTTAATCCCAGCACTCACGAGGCAGAGGCAGGCAGGCAGGCGGATCTCTGTGAGTTGGAGATCAGCCTGGTCTAGAGAGAGAGTTAGGGACAGTCAGGGCTGTTATAGAGAGAAACCCTGTCGTGATAAACCAAAGCGTGGGGTGGGAGACCTGAGGGTGTGTATTCAACATAAAACTAATAAATTGCTCTATTAGACTTTATGCACTTACCAGAAGTCACAGAAACGTTAGAGGACATTGAGGCTATCATAATGATAGCCAAGGACTAGCTAACAATGTGCAGAACTGTCTCAGCATAGCAACAAATACAGTATTAATAGGGGAGCTGGCTGGAGTGGCTCACACTTGTAATCCCCATACTTTGTAGCCTACCGCAGGAGGATTACAAGTTTGGGCTCAGCTGGGCTATGAGTTCCAGTCAAGTTTGGGCTTAAGAGATCTTGTCTCAAAAACATGAATAAACAAAATAAAGGAGATGAACCCGGTAATGGTGAATGTCAGGATGCAAAGAACCTCTTAGAGGATCAGGACTTTGAGGCCAACAGTTGGGGATGGGAGTGTGGTTCCGTTGCTGGAGTGCTTGTCTAACTTCTGAGAGGCTCTGAGTTAGATCTCCAGCCCTGTGTAAACTGGGTGTGCTGGCACGAAGATCCAGGAATGTATTAATATGATTGGACCCACTGGACCTAATGACTGCTGGGATGGCGTGAAGCAAAGAATTAGGGATAACGAAGAAGGAAAAGCCTGAACAATCTAGTAGTAAGTAGACCAGGATCCAGGTATGACATCTCTACATAAATGCAACAAGCAGCTAGATTTAAGCATTTGCGGTGTGTCCAGATGTGAACTGGAGCTGCTGCAGGTGAGAACAAGTGTGACTAGGGGAAAGGGCTAAGAGTGGGACCCGAGAGGTCAAAGCAGTACAGCAAAGAGCATCAGGGTGGGAAAGCTGCCTCTGGAACCCAAGGCTGACTAGAAAGCCCCCAAAAATCATTTAGTTCAGCCAGGAAGGTGACAGAATAGGACACCCAAGCAAGTTTATCTGCCGACCCTAACCCAGTTGCTGAAGGTGCCCAGGTTCTCTAAATCCATTTGACTTGTGAGCTCAGTAGGCTCTGGGTTGTGAAGATGATATTGTAAGAGCAAGGTACACTGGAGAAAAAGCCACCGTGAGAAATTCCCTGCATGGCACAAGGCTGATTCAGCTCCAGCCAAAGAACTATAAACAGTTTCAAAGAGCACACAAAGTGTACCCACTCTGATCAAAATGACCCCATCTGGGTGGTCAGGCAACAAATAATTTTGGTAAATAACATTAGTAACAATTTTGAAATTCCCCTAGCCCCCTCATCATTGAATCCAAAGGTCACCTACTATTCCCCATTCATGAACAGCCAAGGCACGTAGCACCCTGCTTGCACTTTTTTCCTTTAAGAAGCCCTTGCAATTGAGGCCAGGCACCTTTTTCCTGCTGCTGCTGTGCCAGTTTGCAGGACAGGGTCGCTGCCAAGGCTTGTAACTTAACATAAAACCTTGTGTGTTTGCATCAGTGATTCAGCTCATTGGTCTTTACTGGGGTCTCACAAACTTGGCATAATGGATATCCCAGCCATAAAGGGGCTGGAAAGAAGCACACCCCTAGTATGCACATTGACAAATCCCCCAAGGCCACAGGTCAACATTTATTGTAAAAGTACATGGGGAGGGGGAGCTTGAACAAGATGGGGCAGGCTCTAGGAGGCAGAGTCAGAAGCCTCTGAGCTGTCTTTGACATCTGTGCTCTCTGTGGTCTCACTGACCTCGCTGAGGTCTTTACTGTCCCCACCACTGTCCTCAGCAGCCAGGCCCTTCTCCTCACGACAGGCCTCTCCCAAGTTCAGAAGCATGCTGCCTTTGTCCTCCGCCTTGTTCTCCGTGGCTGTCAGCACCATGTGCCTGCCCTTTTCTTTCAGCTCCAGGTGCCGCCTCAGCTGCCGCCGGGAGCCCAGAGGGAAGCGGGTGGAAAGAGACAGGGCCTAAGTCTCCAGACAGGAGACAAGAGGAGCCAGACCCTGGGGCTGGCTGGGGGAAGGGACACAGTGAGAAGTAGTACGGCCACGGCAGGAAATAGGAGTGGGTAGAGATGCAGTTCAATTGTAACTCTGCCCCCAAGCCTGTTTCCTAATCTGTAAAATGGCAAGGGTCCTGATACCCTCAAATGGGCTTCTCAAGAGCTCCCAAGACACAGCAGTGCCCCATAAACTGCCCTACACCTGGGAGGTTTGGTCTGGACCCTTTCTCTCCAGTCCAGTTTGATCCTAGATGTGAACAGGCTAACCATGACTGTCCCTGATCTTACTAGTCCTAATACCTCGATAGAAAAAGATAAATCATTCTCCTATTCCACCTGCAGGCTTCTTCCCCGGAGAACATCCCATGGCATCCTCTATTGTCAACCAAGGCCATGTCCCTACTTGTAGGTTTAGGAAGTAAGGGAAAGAGAGACTCTGACTCCTACCTCTATAGCTACAAGGGCTGGCACTCAACCTTTGTCTTGCCTTCGGCCACCACTGCCCCTGGAGTCACAGCTCTTTAGCCACTTTTCCCAAGTACAGAATCCCCTCTACTGCTGGAATTGCTGCCCTGGCCTGACTGAACTCTTACCTCATCGGCCATCTGTGTAAGGTCCCGCTTCATGGCATATGCATCTTCGCCATCTGCATAGTATTTGGGCTCCACCTCACTGATCCTGGGGATAGGATGGAGACACACACCTGGGGGCAAATTCTCTTGGTACTTAGGCTACTAGAGTGGGTGTCATCTCCCCACCAGGGAGGGGAGGCCAGCTTAAATGGATTCCGTTTTTGTTTTTCATTGAATGTACTCTTCACAAAAGCCATGATGACTTTCTCTGCTCTCTCCAGCAAAGCCAAGCAGCATGTAGCATCCAGGATACTTCCCATCCCTGAACTTGCCAACACTCTGCCCCTTTCCTGACTAGCAAGAACTTGTGTCTTTTGCATGAAGCCCTTAATTCTGCCCCTTCCTTCCTCTTTCTGACTTATTCCCTGTTACTTATTGAACATACAGCTGGGTCCTCTGCTAAGAAAGAGACTCATTGTATTGGCATGTCAGTGGTCATTTCAGACAACCTGGCTACTGCTGAGGGGGAATGTGTGTGCACACTTGAGTAGCCTGATACTGGAAGGGAAGTCATTTGATAGCCTAGAAAGGTCTTTGTCAGCCTAAGACATTAAATATATGAGATCTGGCATGTGTGTACACATCCTCATATGTGCATGTGGAGGCCAGAGGTGTATATTGGGTAGCTTTTTCAATTGCTTCCCATTTTTTTTCATTTTTTTCAAAATAGGGTCACTCACTGAATATGGACCTTTCCCATTCAACTAGGCTGACTGGCTAGTGTACCCAGGGATTATCTTGTCCTAACCTCCTCAGCACTAGGAATAACAGGTACAGGGCACTGTATGTAGCTTTTCTACATGGGTGCCAGGGATCAAACTCGGGTCCTCAAAATAAAGCTGTCTCCTTAGCATCCTTTTGACACAGGGTCTGCTGTGTAGCTGAGACTGATTTGGAACTCCCTATGCTAGGCCCTTAACCCACAGTCCTCCACGTTCTGAGTGTAGAGATTAAGAGGCATATACCACCACACCTAGCTGGGAATCTCTAACTTTGCATGTGAAACAGTCCCCACCAAAGGCATCCTTAACTAGGTCAAAGATCCCTCCATGAATCTAGGTAGTGAACTCAGAAAAGCTGGAAGGCCACTGCCTTGTTCCAATAGTCTCATCTTCACTCTACCTACACAAAGTCTAGTGTGAGTCAATGGATCCTCCAATCAGTTCACTCCAGCCCTACTTTCTATTAGCAGTAGGCACTGCCAGGTTCTTTCTCCAATTGTAATCTCATGGAGGTACCTGTGTCCTGAGTAGACCTGCCGTCAATCATTAGGACATATAGGTCCCTCGTTGTTTTTGCTCATTGCCCTTTTTCTCTGCCATCCTCTTTCATCTGCTCTCACCCAATGCATCCTGGTGGCAGTCACTTCTCAACCTTTGCTCATGCCCTAACCTAATTCCCCTTAGTCCTCGACCAGCACTAAGAAGTCTTGTGTGTTCTTTACTAAAATGCCCTTCACCAGCCTCACTAGTACCAAGCCATCCTTCCTCTACCCAGCAAGATGTGTAGGACACCTCTACCACACACACAGAAAGCAGGTGCCTTCTCCTTGTTAACTTTTGAGTGAACAGCCACTGAGTATACAGAAGGTCCCCTAGCAATAACTGAAGTTCCTCCACTACTTTCTCAGCTCACCTCAGCTAAATGGATGGATCATGCCACTTAAAAATCTTGATCTGCCAGGAGGTGGTGGCACACACCTTTAATCCCAGCACTTGGGAGGCAGGTAGATCTCTGTGAGTTCAAGGCCAGCCTGGTCTACACAGTGAGTTGCAGGACAGCCAGGATGGTTATACACAAAAACCCTGTCTTGAGAAAACAGAAAAACAAAAACAAAACAAAATCTTGATGTACTTACTGAAAGTTGAGGGTGTTGGAATAGAGATGCAGGGCAGCTCGGTTACTGCAGGGGAATAAGGCATTGCTGGGCTTCACAAACTTGGCCAGGCAGATTGGCAGGCAATATCCCAGTCCTCCTTTCCCACTAAAGCTCCTTCCCATCTTCTTCTGAAGGTAAGAATCCCTATCAATTGGGTATCTCTTCCTCCCAACTCCCCAGCATTGCCCTTTCCCCTAGCTTGTCTTTCACCTCTTTCTGACATGCAGGGAGACATATTTGGCATTGAAGTTCTCTATCATGGCTCGAGAAGCCTGGTCCATCAGTTTCTGAGCCAGCCCAAGGCGCCGGTGGGAACGCTTCACAGCCTGAGAGAAGAAGGATGGATACGAGTGGGACCTTAGAAGCTACCTTCAATTACCTTCAGACCACCTCTGCCAAATCTTCAGTAGCTCTACTCACCAGTGACGTGATATGTCCATGGGGCACGTCATCTGGGTCCTCTTCCCTAGAGGAAAAAGCTAGGAAGGATCCTGGTACATGTCCATTCTATCTGGGACACCTGTGCACATCAAGTGCACAGACATCGTGGTGGACCCCACAGCACCCCAGATCCAGACAGAGGAGAACTAGGAACTCCTCCTCAAAGCCCCCATGCTACACCCACCAGTATGTGCAGAGAACATCATCCTATGATGGCCAAAAAAAAAAAACAAAGCCAGCTGCCAAGCCACAAAAAGTGTATCAGTGTATTACTGAATGCAAAGCACTGAGTAAAAGGATCCAGGTTGAAAGCACTATAAGTTCCTAGTCCAACTCTGCAACCTTCTTAAAAGGTGAACAACCTTGTTGTTGGAGGCTATGGAAGGGATGGAATACTCTAAAAGTGGACAGACACTCTTTGGTTGTCCAACTCAGAGGGTGTGCAACAGACAGAAGCCCAACAATGAAAACATGAATCTTAACAAAATCTGTGTTGGTTTCTTACTTCTAATAAGTGTACCATGCCTGGTACTGAGAGAACTAATGTGGAAGAGGGGTGTATGGAAATACTTAGTACCTACCTTCTGCTCAATCTTTCTGTCAATTTAGAACCACCCTATAAACAAATTGTTAGAAAAAAAAAAAACAAAAGAAAACAATCCACAGCAAGCTGGGCATAGTTAATTCCAGCATATACAGGGGGCTCAGCATGAAGACTGCTGCAAGTTTGAGTGCAATCTGGGTGGAAGACTGAGAACCCCTCTAAACCTAATCCACAGCAGCATTCACCAGATATGGATGGATGGTGTTGGCTTCCCATTTCCTTCTCCAAAGCTTTTCCCTCAGCTCCTCAATCCCCAGTGTTAGCATTAGGCTCTTTTCTTCCTCCTTGGTGACTCACATTTTGGCCAAGACGTACCCCACAATCTTCCCATTCTCATCCTCAGCAATGTAAGAGAGCTGGTAACAAAGAGGAAAAGGAAGTCAGGCAGAGCAGACAACAGGCTAGAGCTCACTGCCAGCCTCCTGCTGTGTGTAGGATGGTGAGAAGCTGCAAAAATTGTTGTGATCACTGGTGGCCTGGAAAGCAGGGGGTCCGGTTTCTCTACTCCACAGTTGTGCTCTCTCTTGGAAGAGCACAGACACCGGTGTAAATCCCATCTCCCACCTGTGTCTAGCTTACAGTCCTAGCTACACCTTTTCCTTTGCCAGGCTTCCCCAACCAGGGCCTCACTGTACCAAGGCACTGTACCTTACTGCCCACTGCTTTTAGCCCACTCAGATCCATGTTTCCCTCCTGTTGTCCCTTACACCCCTACAAAACGCAAAACCTTCCCACCTGGGGCCAAGAGAGGCCGTGATAGAAGTAGTACTTCATCTGGTAGTTCTCGGGCAGGCAGAGGAGGTTGCAGTGCTGCATGTTCATGAGGTCCTCGGGCTGCATGACAGTGTGACACGATTAGTTCAGGACTGCAGTGACTAAGAATGGCCTCACACACGCACGCGGGACGCCTGTTCTGTTAATCTCTGGGCCTCCCCTTCCCAGGTACGATACGGTTATGACTATCTAATTAGCACGAGCCTGGTTTCTATGAGTCGCGCAAAACGTGCCAGCTCAAAGACCCAACAGCAGCGCCTGGAGGTCGCGGAGCCCACTCGACAGAGCCCTGACATCAGGTAAACGCGGGTTAGTATAATCGCGAAATATCTAGAGCAGGTTTCAGCAGCCTTAAGGTCCGGCGGCCGCAGACGTGGAGAGCGACAGCACCAGGTCCCTCGGTAGCATGCCTACGCGGCCACCCGGCAAGGCGCCCACTGGGTGTGGACAGGCTGGCTCCCCATCACCTCACCCTAGCATTGCGGATGTTCATCACGGCGGCGGAGCTCGCGGGTCCTCACAGGTTATAAACGCGCGCGCTCAGCGGCCACTTACAAGAACGGCACCGAGTACAGAGGCCTGGGCCTGGACTGGCGCCAGACTCCCAGGGAGAGGTAGCGGAAGAGGTGGGCCACTCAGACCCGCCTACAGCGGAAGTGTGAGGTACGGGATCCGTTTCGGAACAGAACAGCCAGTGAGCGCGCCCAGAGGCAATGGGCGCGGTAGAGCCGTGCTGAGAAGGCGCTTTCAAGGCCCTTATGAAGGCCCAGCAAAGCTGGCATTTGGGGGGAGTAGCTGTTCCCTCCAGCGGGGCCCACAGAGGTGCGCACACAAGCCGTTGAAACGGGGTCAGATTTATTTTGAACCTCTTGTGGGTGGAGATAGCAGGCGACTACACGACGGGGTCAGGCTGGAGGCGGCAGAGCAGGGCTTCCAGAATCTGCTCGCACATAGCCAGGCACCGCGGCACGTGGAAGCAGCCTATGAGGAGAATGGATGCGGGGGTTAGGTGGGCCTGGGGAGCCAGGTGCCACAAACCTTTGCAGTCTTGTCCCGTTCCCTGCTCACCTTTAAAAGGACCTCCCTTGATGGTGAGGGTCACCTTTCCCTCTCGGTTCAGATAGCCAAACCATTCCCCGAAGTCAGGATCACGAAACTAGAATGAGACAATGACAGCTAGTGTCTGCCAGGACCCACCCGAGTGTCACTGGCCGAGGAAGGGGCCCTCGCTGTCCCCTTTGCACTGGTCCCCGTGATCAGACTTCAAATGGCACAATTTCCATTTCATGACTTTTAAGGGACCATGTCCTGAAAAAGATGAAAGCTGAGGATGACAGGCAGTTGGCTTTCTCAGTAACGTGATGGGAAGGGGCTGCAGGCAGTGTGCTGAAATGCTGAGAGAACACACCCTCTATATTTGATTGTGGTGTATCTAACACTTTGAATTGAATACTTAAAAGCAAGCACATTTTTAACTCATCTAAATTAAAAAACAAAAAACCCTGAAGAATCCTACATTGACCTGCCAGCAAACTTTTCAACATGTCCTCTACTTCACAGGCCTTTGGTCTAAAAGACCTTTGGATTATCAAGCACACACATGTAACTCCTGCCCTTGCATACTCAGGTTTTTATAATAGTGTCTCAGACTTTTCTCTAACCCTGTGTGATGGATGGGGCATGGCTTTAGTCCCAGCCCTCAGGAGGTAGAGGCTGACACATTTCTGTAAGTTTCAGGACAACCTCATTTTCTGCCTGCTTTCACCATGGGTTTTGAATGTATCTCTTACTTCTGACCCTGTGCATTGGATCTGATGCTTCAGATAAGGGAGGGACAGCAGCTGAGCTGGCTAGATAGACTCAATGTACACCCCATGCCATGCCATACCTGTCTCACTGAGGCTTTTTTTTTTTAGTTCCCCCAAATGTAGCCCAGATCCTTATTCTATGCCCTTTCCATTTTGTTCTCACTGACAAAATAGTTACGTAGAACCCTTTTTTAGAAGGCAGTCTTACAAGATTACTATCAAAATGCTCTATTTATTATTATTATTATTATTATTATTATTATTATTATTATGGTGTTTTGAGACAGGGTTTCTCTGTATTGCTTTGGAGCTGGAACTAGCTCTGTAGACCAAGATGGCCTTGAACTCACAAGCATCCGACTGCCTCTGCCTCCTGAGTTCTGGGATCAAAGGCATGTGCCATTAATGCCCGGCTCAAAATGCTCCCTTTAAATTGTGACATGTGAGTTATGAATTTTTAAAATAGTGTATTTATTTTTTTTAATTCTTTAAATAATTATTTATTATGTATACAGTGTTCTGCCTGCATGTATGGTTGCCTGGTGCCCAGAAAGGGGCACCATATCTCGTTATAGATGGTTATGAGGTAACATGTCATTGCTGGGAATTGAACTCAGAACCCCAGGGAAGGGCAGCCAGTGCTCCTTAACCTCTGAGACATCTCTCCAGCCCCAATGATTTATTTATTTTTATCTTATGTTCATTGGTGTTTTGCCTGCATGAATTTTTATGTGAGGGTGTCAGAAATTGGCCTATGTAACTGGTTGCTCTTACTGTGACTTACTATGACAACTAGTGACTTTCTTATGACAACTAGGCACTTGTAACAGGCCAAATTTCTCTCTCTGAACTACAGCCTTAGAAATTCATCTGCTGGGTCAAGAGTCACTAATTGCCTTGCAAACTAGCCTGGTGGTGGTGCACACCTTTAATCCCAGCATTCAGGAGGCAGAGGCAGGCAGATCTCTGAGTTGGAAGCCAACCTGGTCTCCAGAGTGAGTTCCAGGACAGCCCAGTAGGGGTACCCAGATAAACTATGTCTTGAAACCCACCCCCCACCCCCACGAAAAAAGTGCCTTGCAAACATGAGGACCTGAATTTGGTCCCAGAACTTATAAAAAAATAGCAAGGATAGCATACTTGTAATTCCATTACTGGAGAGACAGAGACAGAGTTAAGATGATCCTAAGGGTCTGCTTGTTAGCCAGCTTAGCTACTGAGTGACCCTGTCTCAACAAAAAGGTATATAGTGTCTGAGGAGCACCACCTGAAATTGTCCTTTGACATACCTATACCTTTTCTCTTACACACACACACACACACACACACACACACACACACACACACACTTGAGGTGGGGGTGTGGTGGGTGGTGGTGTCCAACTGCTGATTTATCAGCCTGACATGTTAGCTGTTGGATTTCCTGTCAAAGCTCAGGCTGCTGGACCTGGTAGAGCATGGATGTTCCTGCTACATGGAGCAGACCTGGCTGAACCCTCCCAGCTTCCCTTCTGTCAAACAGACACATCCTGCTCTCCATTGTTTTGGATCCTTGCTCACAAGGTCTTCTCTGAATCCTCTATAAGAAAGTTCTGTAGCATTTGTCATCTGCTTTGTTTTCCACAGGTTATTGGTGTCTACATTTGCTTATTTACTTGATTAGAGTCTGATCATCCAGAAAGGTAAATTCTTTGAGGCAGGGCTTCTTGATTTACCAAACAAAAATTACTCTCGGAACTCTCAGAGGAGCTGAGGGCAGCACCTGATGAATGGGCTAGGAGGGGCTGAAGGAAAGCCTACTGGATACCCCTTACACAGCCCCTGTTTCTCCCTCTCCTGCTGTCTGTCTTATCCTTCACACCCAGCCTGTGCTTCCAGGGAATGAGAAGACAATACTTACATGGCGGAAGGTGTACTCGGCCACCTGGTTGAAGAGTTTTAGCAAGGCGGGGTCCCCACTGTCACTGTAGCCCATGAGGAAGGCAATCATGGCTTCACTGTGTGGCCACCACAGTTTCATGTCCCACTCCAGCTGAGAACCGAGCAGAGATAGGCAGCTCAGGTCCCTGTTGGCCTTAGGACACTTACTCATAGCCTCTGTTCTGGCTCAATCTGTCTGGCTCAGGACTTGGTTCTTAATCAAGCAACATGGGTGATAGAATTTGAATAATCCTTAAGAGTAGGGCTAGCGTTCTGACCTGTATGTACCCCAAGGCAGCTCCTTAAAAGGACAAGTACTAGGGCAGACTCAGAATGTTGTCTACCTTGTCACATCATCTTTAAGCCTCTTGGATACTGCTGCTATCCATGGCTAGTATAGTACTCTGCAGAGCTACAACAGGACCAGGACACAACTAATCAGGTGAATAATTTCACTCGTATCTGCCATCAAGTGAGAGAGTAAGAATCACCGAAGAACCCTTTGAGCCACTGGTACCAGACAAAGGGGATGTGTGTCTTGCCATGTATTTGAACATACTCTCTTCTTCCTTCACAGGACATGGGCTGGAGAAAACTGGACTCTAGGTTCATTTTGTTGTTGTTGTTTTATGACAGGGTCTCTATGTTGTCCTGGTTGTCTTGGAACTCACTCTGTAGACCCCACAGACATTTATCTTCCTGCCTCTGTTCCCCAAGTGCTCAAGTGCTAGGATAAAAGGTGTACGCCACCACACCTGACTCTGAGTTTCCCTTACTACATTCCAGGCTTCCAGCAAGTTGCTCTGGACATCCCACCTGGGTAGGGCAGAGACCATCAGCATCCTGGAAGTAGAAGAGGCCTCCATGTTCAGGGTCCCATCCAGAGTGGAAAGGCAACAAGAGAAACTTGTCAATGATGTATGTTCGAAGTTTTGGGTCATCTTTCCTGACAGCATACTGGAGCAGGAACCAGCCAGCTTCTAGTGTGTGACCTAGTGAGGGTCAAAAGTTAGTAAGGCCGGAATCAGAATTCCCCTCCCAAGCATCTGAGGGCTTGAGTTCCTGGGACCTCCCTTCCTTCTCAAGGAGGAAAGATGCTTCAACTCTGTCACAGGATACCCAGCCTTTCTGCCTGGACTCCATTCCCTGAAAAAAAAATGGTCCCCAAAACAGACACATAAGCTCCTGCAGTCAATGCCCAATCCCAGGCAGATGATCCCCTTCCTCTGCCTGGTCCTTGGTGGAGGGAGGAGGGCAGCCCACTCCCATACGAGGCTCCAAACTAAAAGCTGAGTTGTTTTTCCTGATGGGCCTAGCACATGTCTTCACCTGGGTTCTGATGTCTTCCAAGGCAACCAGAGAGTTCTTTGCCATCCTCTGATACATTCTCTAGTACAACTTGTCCATCCCTCTGCCAGGAAAGGGACAAAAGACAGATGTTTCCAGTTACCTATCATCCAACTAGAAAGATCTTAACTTCAAAAGCCCTCTGGGGCATTGTGGCTTATGCTTTTAATCCCTGAGGCAGAGGCAGGTGGATTTCTGTGAGTTCAACACCAGCCTGGTATACATAGTGGGGTCTGGGACATTCAGAATGGTTACACAGAGCCTTCCCCCACCCTGGGTATCAGCCATCCACCTACTCAGTAAGCCCAAAAAGGGCATTTCTGGTTTTGTGTTTTGAAACAGTCTTGGGTAGCCCAGGCTGCTCTCAAACTGATGTGCAAAATGTGCAAAGATGACCTTGAACTCTACATTCTCCCACCTCTACCCCCGGAGTTCTGGAATTACTGAAGAACATTTTGATTGTCTCCCATGGGGCTCTAGGTTATGATCCTTGCTTTAGGTCTGGAGCTCTCAGTGAATGAGGAGGCAGGTTAAAGTTGGATGCCCACAGAGGCTGGGAAGGAACATAGATCAAGGTCTCAGGATTTGTCTGGGGCTCTGGCCTCTTTCTGCCTTAGGGCCTATCTATCTCTGCCCCAGCATGTCAAGATCCACCTTCCTGAGGGCTCTTGGATGTATTTCTTTTTCCATGACAAGGTTTCTCTGTAGCTTTGGAGCCTGTCCTGGAACTTGCTCTGTAGACCAGGCTGGCCTTGAATACATAGAGACTCACAGAGATCCACCTGCCTCTGCCTCCCAAGTGCTGGGATTAAAGGCGTGCGCCACCACTGCCCAGCAACCTAAGCTGTATTTCAAATGAATGTGCTTCCTTAGACCCACCCACCTGTCATGAGAGCCGAAGGAAGAACATATTTCAGGTAGAGGGGCCCTTGCTGAGTGGGAGAATAGGTTCCAGCCTGTCCCTTTCTCTGGACCTACCTGGACGTGCTGCAGAATCCTGTGGGCACACCACTCCCCTAGCTCTGTGTACTTGCTAGACAGCTCCTCATCTTCCTCCCCAAGCTGCTCCACGAGGCTGAGCAGCATCATGGGCACTGCCATGGGCTCTGTGGCCAGGGTCCCCGAGAGCTGAGGCCGGCCTAGACCAGCTGGGTCCTCCCGCACCCAATGAATGATCTGGTCCATCATCTCCACAGCTTCATTCTGGGGGGACACCAGGCAGAGGCTGCATGCTTTGTCCCATCTGTCTTCCCCAGGAAGGACCTAGGACTCAGCCTGTTCACCAATAATACCAACTCTTTCTGTAGCTCTCCAGGGCCAGCCCTACAGCCAGGCACCAGAGGCCAAGCAGATCCAGCCAACACTACTTGGGGGGCTCGGGGATTCAGGTCACTTTCAGGCAGAAAGGCCCAGGAAGGAAGGACAGGATCTCTTCTACTTGGAAGCAGGGCACTGATTGATAGATTCCTGCTTGCCCAGAGTTTCTATGGTGGTATAGGAATTAGGAGAGAGCTAAGGAGAGAAGGTGGTCACAAAATGGTAGGATAGGAGTGAATGGGAGTTGTGGCAGGCTCCCAGGCCTGTTTTCAGAGTGCACTCATATCCAATAGCCTGTGGCCATCCCTCAACACACCTGGTAACATGTTTCCTTTGTTACTCTCCAAAGCTCGTTCATGGCTATGGTGTAGAAACACTCGCTGAAAATGGTCCGCTGCACCTTCATCGGACGGCCATCCCGAGTCAACACAAAGGCACACTTTTTGGCAGGAGGTGCCACCCGTGCAAAACGCAGCAGGAACTCCCCACCTGGTGGTTGGGAAGCATGCATGCTAGGTGAGGGTTCGGAATATACTGCCTCTTGGAACATATCCAGTCCATTTCCTTTTCTAGGCTCCTTTACATCCACTGAATAAGTGAGCCACTGAAGCTGCTGAGGAGCTGGGTGTAGGAGAGGGTACCTGCTTTTGCAGCATCCAGAATCTCAGCACGTCGGAAGCGCTCAAAATTGCGGTACAAGCGACAATACATCCATACCTGTGGGGAGAATAGCTGGGTTACTGGGAATCCTAAGTGTCCCTGTGTATACCCAATGACACCCTTAAGTATGGAAACTGACCTGCCTCCCCTGCAGCCAGACATACTTAAGGTCATCATAGACCTGCCCATTGCGGCCAAGGCATGTGAAGAAGCCCCTGTGAGATACGTATTATTAGAAGAAGAGGGAAGGAGACAAGCACCCTTCTCCATTGCTTCACTACTCTCCTGAAGCCGGTAGATCTGCAAGGCCTCGGAGTGAAGTAGGGGTTTGGAAGGGGCAAAAGCCCTGGTTGGACCATTGAGGGGTATCTGACCCGTGTTCCCGGTCGTGGGAGTGCTGCAGCCAGAAAGCGACCACGCTGTCAAGCTCCTTTGCCACACGGTCCTTCCAGGTCTGAAGTGCCTGTCGTTCCTTCTCCATGTCCTGTGAAGCGATTCAGGTCAGGGCAGGGAGACACAACTCTTCACAGGGAGATCCTGGTCCAGTTCAAGTGGGCCCAGAGCTGCTCGTGGGCACCTCACACACCCCTCCCCGCAGGGCCTTGAGCTAAGGACCCTTCTCGCCTCTGCGATGCGCGATGCGCTTCTGACTCTGCTGGGACCCTCCAGAACAACATCTCTCCTGCCAATGCTACCACTGACCTGTAACACTGGGTCCGTTAAGTGCTTTCTTCCAGGAAACCGGAGTTGGTCGGAATCTCGTGACCGTCACTCAGCTGACAGAGAAGTGCCCCGCCCATCTGATCTTCCTCAGTGTTCTGAAGGGCCCCGAGGTAGGGGCGGGACAGAGAGCAGGGTTTCAAACCCCGCCCCTTCTCCATCCAGGCTCAGGCTGAGCACCCTTGCACTAGATCCCCCTGGTGGGAACTCTGTGAGGACAGTCTTGTCCCACGGGGAGGATACTGAATTGGGCCTGGCAACTGAGCTGGTGACCCCAACAGATGTGTGGGGTTGGGGTGCCCCTGGAAATGCCTGAATCCTGAGACCCTATGACCCCATATAGTGGGCGAATCTCTTTCCCAATTTGGTCCGTTAGCTGCTTCAACTATCAGTATCTAGTAATTTACATCCATTGGCCCTGGTTGCTAGTTCCTGAATACTTCACCCCAAAGGATGCTTCTGGGAAAACAGGTGGTAGCCATGCAGAGGCATCCTCCACATCTCTCGGCCTGCTTTCTAGATACCCAGTATTTGTTGTGTCTGTGACAGGCTGGTTCGTCTGTTCCCCATTGTTATCACTCACTGGACACCCTCAGTGATCAGTAGAATTTTGTGGAGGGGGAGTTCCTACAAAATGCCTCAGGTACTTTGGGGAACTTGAACATGTTCTGAATCTTTTTTTATTTCCATTTTATTTTGTGTGAGTGTTTTTTTTTTTTTTGGTTTGTTTGTTTTTTGGTTTTGTTTTGTTTTTTTCCTTTATCTGTTTTTTTTCCCTTTATCTGTGTACCACATGCATGCAGTATCCTCACAGACCAGAAGAGTGCACTGGGATCCTTTGGGGCTGGAGTTACAAATGGTTGTGAATCTCCATGTGGGTTCTGGGAATCAGACCTGGGCCTCTGGAAGACAAGACAGTGCACTGAACTGCTGAGTCATCACTTCAGTTCCTTGATATATGAAACAATCTTATTTTATATACCAATCCCAGTTCCCTCTCCCTCCCATCCTCTCATGCCATCCACCGACTCTTTCCTATCCCCCCTCCCCCCCCCCCCCCGGTCCACTCCTCAGGGAGGGTGGGACCTTCCATGGGGAGATCATCAAAGTCTGTCATATCATTTGGAGCAGGACCTAGGCCCTCCGTGTATCTAGGCTGACAGAGTATCCCTCCCAGGAATGGGCTCCTAAAGTCCATTCATGCACTGGCGATAGATACTGGTTCCACTGCCAGAGGCCCCATACACTGCCCAGTGTTGTGAGATATCCACTCCACCGGCACCTATTGCACTGACCATGAGTGTTTGGGCATGGTCACAGGTGCAGACATGATGGAGAAAGGCTAGGTCTGGGGTCCCAGACCCCAGCTCATTCTCTTGCTTCCTAATTGGTTTCAGAGAGTATCTGGCAGGAACTTGTGGTGGTCATCTGTTTCATGTATAAGTGAATTATTCCCAAATAAACCTCACTTAACCTATACTGAGTCCAGTGAATCTTAATTCCCATGCATTAGCCCAGGCCTCCTAACTGACACCCATGTTCATGAGGTCAGATTTGGTCCTATGCTGGCTCCCCAGCTGTCAGACTGTGGTCAGCAAACTCCCACTTGGGAAAGTCAGCTGTTTCTGTGGATTTCCCTAGCCTGATTTGACCCCTTTGCTCATCCATCCTCTCTCTCTACAACTAGACAACTGGATTCCAGGAGTTGAACATGTTCTTAAGGATGGACTGCAACCCAGGAGTGTAAAGTAACTAGACCTTCTATCTCATCAATGCTGCTCTGGGAGCTGGTTAAAAAAACAATCCAATCCCTGGACATGGTGATGTTCTTGTGCTACCTCACCTCCCAGCTTCATGCTGACCTTTTGATTTCACAATGACTACTACCTTCCAATCTATGGCTGCTGGCTAGCTTTGCAGGTTGGAGCGATTCTTTCAGCCTGAAACACTTCACCTTTGTAGTGCTTGTAGTGCCTCATCCCCATGTAGTTTAGGTAGAAGCAGCTGCTCTGTGTTCATATCTACCCTCAGCTTAGCTCATACCCAGGGGACCCTGGATCCATATTTAAATTGTATTTATCCATGTCCATTCTCCCCTGCTTCTCTTGCACATATACCATCACCCTTAAGCTCAGCCAAGAACAAGCCTTGATGTGATACTATAGGTGGTTCCCTGGCCCTGGATTTCATAAGAGCAGGATGAGGCAAGGCTGTGATGTCTCTTTCGGCCCTCAAGCTCAGTTTGCTAGTTTGTTAGCAACAGGCTTTCATGTATGGCATGAATTTATGTATGGCGTTGAACTCCTGATCCTTTTGCTTCCACCTTTCGAGAACTGGGACTACAGGTGTGTTGCATCACATCAAGCTTCAAGCTCAGTATTTTTGTTTGTTTTCCAAGACAGGGTTTCACTGTGTAGTCCTGGCTGTCCTGGAACTCAGTAGACCAGACTGGCCTCTGCATCCCCAGTGCTGGGATTAAAGGCATGTGCCACTACCACCTAGCTCAAGCTCAGTGTTTTAAGATCTGCACCAAGGCACTTCTGATATATAAATCTTTTTTTAAAGGATTTATTTTTAATTATGTGTATGTATATGTGTCTATGTGAGTGAGATGACCACAGAGGTCTACTCAATGAAGATGCTGGAAACTGAACTCTGATCCTTTGTAAGAGCAGTGTACTTTTAACCAGTGAGTCATCTTTCTGGCCATGCATATTCCTTAAGTTCCAGAGTGGTATGAGACAGCACAGGGAAGAAGGAGGAAGGGTAGCCCCATGGCTATAGGAATAGTGTGCGAAGAACCTTTGCACTTCTGCCAGGCTGTGTCCATGTCTGCACAGGTCTCTCCATTGAACAATTCACCTCTGCTGACCCATGCCCCCCTATCCCTGGACATTGCTCCCTCGGCTGCTATCTAAAGGATAATGTATTGTTACTTTTCTTAGGCTGGAGGCAGGCTAGTGGAACTTTCACTTGCTCTGCTCTCTTTATTGACAAGATACCCTCAACAAAGCTTAAACCTTGGAAGTTGTGGACCCAATGAGGATGTGCTCCCAACCCAGCTGGTCTGAGCTGGGCTCCATCTGGGGCAGGGAAGGGTCTGGGTGGGAGAACATAATGGATATCACACACCAGGAAGTGCTGCTGTGGAGCTCAATAGTGGTGTGAGCACCAAGAGCTTCTCAGAGGCCTTCTACACTGGGCCTGCACTCAGGCATCAGCATGTACCGAGTACAAAGATCTAGTTGCACAGCAGCACTGGGTCCATAGGAAGCAACTTTTGGTACCAAAATGGCTGAGAAAGAATGGCAGCACTGGAGAGATAGCCCAGTGATTAAGAGTGTGTATTGTTCTTATAGAGGACCCAAGTTCAATTTCTATTACTCAAGTTGGTCAGCTCACAGCTGCCTTTAACTCCAGAGGACTGTCTTTGATGTCTGAAGGAACCTGTACTTATTTATCCACCCACCCACACATAATTAAAAAAAGATGCTGAGGAGACATGTCCCCACATCTCTCCTTTCTGTAGCTCAAACACGAGGGACCTGGAGAAGCATGGAGGTGGTATACTTGTTACTTTGAGCCTGCTGGCACCTAGACCTGAGCTCTGGCTATAGGCCAGGGTTGCCTTATCTCCAGGCTTCCTTAGCCTTCTGCCCAGATCAGTATTCAACCAGATCACAGATGTACCACCCAACAGGCTGCTGAACTGCCAGGGTCAATAATTCTACTTCTTCCTCTTTGGAGGCTTAGCTTGTGTACAAAGGTAGATTTGGTCCTGCTACATACAGCTGACATCCTGGGGCCTCCTGAGCTTATATTAGACTATAGAGGCCTTTACCTTGGTCTGTCTCTTAGTAGAATAGGTGACCTGGCAAAATCAGCAACAAACGCTCACTCAAGAGGCCCCTCAGCCTTGGGCACCCTGTGGTGTACCTTGCACTGGAGTCTTCCTTAGGAGGGCAATTGAGAACCCCTCACCTATGGGTCTTGGTAATATAATAAATGGCCTCCAGTGGCTCAAGTGGACCTTGGGCAGGTCTCAGCTCCCCTTTCCAAAGGTGCAAGACACTCATGACAAAGAGGTAGATACAGGTGGTTATTTCAAAAAAAGTCTTTTAATTGTTCAAAATAGCACAAAACAACATCGCACTATGGTAATATTGAGTCACAGGGGTTACTCTACAATAGATGAATGGGGTAGTACTGTTCTCAGAAGAGAAATCAAAGGGTGCTTGGGAGAAGGGATAGGGGAAACAGAGGGGCAAGGCGAGAGGGCTCCAACTTGACTAAACATGACATTTTCCACAGAGAAATATGATACAATACACTAGAGGCCCCAGGGGGTATGGGCCTGAGTGGCTAAACACATTGGCTGTCCATTTCTAAATCCTTCAGTAACTTGCTTGCAAGCATTATTCACCGCCTAAAACTTGGGTCCTGGAGAGAAAAAAAATCCAGAGCTTGGGGACAATGCTTTGAAATTTATTACTGAGCTTGTGTCATGTACCTAACCCCAGCCTCTGTGGGATATATGGCATACCCCTTCCCCTTCCTGGGCTGCCTTCAAAGTGGCCAGGTCCCATCTGTTCCCTGTCCCTGCTTTATTGTTCAGGGTCAGTCTCTGCAAGTGATGGTGATGAAGGTGGACTCCACCTTCAAACGCAAGCCTCTATATGTCAAGTGCTAACCCACAGGGAATAAAGGTTCAACGTCTTACACTGTTCCAAAAGCAGGCAGGATCTAGCAATAGGAAAACTGGACAAGGCAGTGTCT